GAGTTTGACAGATTCTTTTAATGGTTTTGATGCACTGCGACACTGGACCGTGAAATGATTAAATACACACTGAAAAAATTATATATTTTTTTTTTATAAAATGAAGACGTATTTTATTAAATTAATGACACATTTATATATTTAATTCCTTATTTATTTAATGAATTACACATTTAATTAATTGTTTATCGCTGTATTTATTTATTTAATTGTGGCACTTTATAGTAGTGACGTGGTTTTCATTAATGAATGACACATTTATGTATTTAATTCCACATTTAATTAAATATTGACGCATTTAATTATTTATTTAATGTTGTATTTATTTAATTTTGGCACTTTTTATCCGCCATATATAACTGGTGTGCATTGAAATGTAGATGTTTTTCTGTGTTTTTGCCTGCTGTGTCTGCTGGTTGCTTTATGAATATTTCTGTCAAACGGCTGTAGAGTTTGGACTTCATCAGGCTAAACTGCAACCCACTTGAAGAATATTTGAGCTCTGAGTTTTCCTCACAAAATGGAAGTTAGGAGTCTCTTTAATCTCTAATCTAATAGTCTAGATTATTTCCAGTATATGCATGTTTACTGCATAATACAGATTTTTTTCCTAAATGATTTAGTATTTATATTTTGATGGAGGCTTAAAAATGGTGGTGTTGTTCTAGGCTTTACCTCCCACTACAAGGTCCCTCCATCACATCAACTGTACGCTTTTTTTGTTTTTAGTTTTTTCTCAATCAAAGTTTTCCATACTAACCACCTTCCTGATCCTGTCTATAAGTGAAATATGATCTATTCACATTTAATTTAGTCATAAAGGGGAAAAAAAACAAACTTAAAATTAGAATTAATATAGTAAAATAGCCAGATGTTATCAACTGTTTTGTCAATGTATAGAAAAGTAATTTTTTTTAATTTTTGCAGAAATATAAGGGTACCTGATCTCAGCAGGTGAAAGGAAAAGTTCTCAATGGCAGAAGTCTTGTTCTTCATTCATTTTTTAAAACTTTATTTTATCCCCTAGATGTTAAATCTGTTTGTGGCCGTCATCATGGACAACTTTGAGTATCTTACTCGGGACGCCTCCATCCTCGGGCCTCACCACCTCGATGAGTTCATCCGTGTGTGGGCTGAATATGACCCCGCTGCCTGGTAGGTGTCTTCTGCAGCTCCAGCACGTTCCCCTGTGTAGAGAAGTGTTGGCGTTACAGAGGAGGTTTGCTTTTAAAAGAAACTCAGGAAAGTCCCACGGTGGCTTCTGGGTTCCGGCAGGATGCCTCCGATGTTCAACTGGTAGGGATTCATCTTAGCGCCGACGGATGAATGACAGTAAGCCTGAGTCTGAGAGCGTCGGCTGAGATCAGGGACGAGGCCCCTGTTGGCTGGATTGATGCGTTCCGCTCCACGTCCACCCAGCCTTGATCCGACAGGCTCAGACTCCTTCCTGTCTGTTTCTTTAAAATAAAGTGAAACTGTCTCTGTCACTCCAGAAGCAGAGCACAGGTTTATGTTAGACTACTTTTTTTTTTTTTCTCACACCTAATGCAGTTTACTTTGACTAAAGCATATACTGAGCGAGACACTGTGAAGCCTAATCTGTCTCAGATTAGGCTTGGCTCGTATAATTTTAACGAAGCCTTGCAGGTTTCTTTCCTTTGATCGAGACATTTAGAGGTGTGAGAAGTAAAAGAAGAATTTACCATCACCTGACAGACGATATGGGGAGGAATTAAAATGTATTCCTCTGAATATGAATGAGGGGCTCTCAAAACAGCCTCTAGCAACATTTAATAATTTTTTTCAGATTATTTAAATAATTTTCAGATATTATTGGGTTTAAGATGGAGTCTAAATGAAATTCAAATAGTGACTAAAAAAATGTGTTTACTCTTGGACCTTTTGGAGATCAGGGGTAAGTTTCTTCCTTGAAATACACACAACATTTTAAATAACTTTTATGCTAAATATGAAATATTTAAATCTAAATATTAGATGAAGGATTTAAAAGGAAAGAAAGGATTTTTTCTTTTTAAAGTGGGGTTTTGGGTAGTAGCTATAAGCAGTCAGTATCTTACCTGATACAAAAAGAGCTTACTTTGTATTGGAACTGAGGAAACCTTTGAAGAAATATGAATTAACACAACAAACTCAAAACTCAATGAAATGTCTTAGCTTAGATCAGGCATCCCCAAACTCGGTCCTCAAGGCCCCCTGTCCTGCAGGTTTTAGAGGTTTCCTTGCTCCAGCACAGCTGATTTTAATTGAAAGCTGATTAACAGGCTTTTGGTCTACTGTAATCATTATAACCAGCTGTGCTGAAGCAGAGAAACCTCTAAAA